TATTCGGTGGAAGACGGTAGAACGGCGGCCGGTCGATGGTTGTTAGGTGAATGACGATGATGACCAGTGCGCCCACAGTATAGTCAATGGAGATATTATAGCAATACTAATATAGTCAATGGAGATATTATAGCAATACTAATATAGTCAATGGAGATATTATAGCAATACTANACTAATATAGTCGGAGATATTATAGCAATACTAATATAGTCAATGGAGATATTATAGCAATACTAATATAGTCAATGGAGATATTATAGCAATACCAATATAGTCAATGGAGATATGGCAATATTGATTATCGCGAAGTTGCTCTGCTACCACAGGTGTTCTAACTCAGATCAACAACTTTCGAACCACTTCTCCACCCCCCCCCTTCCCTTCCTCTTTTCTTGCTCCCCCCTCCTCCGCCCCCTTGCCCCTGCTAGATACAGCGATAATGACCGCAGGTTCTATTCAGGTAAAGAAGGTAGACGACAGTCTTCATCTCCTCTTTGCTCAATTGCCAATGTGTAATCATATTGCTTTTTCACACCTCTCTGCCGAATTGGGAATCTGTTGGACCATTGCTTCTACCCTTGCCCGGCCGATGATTGTCGCTACCCCCACTGGTCACACCTGAGACTACCGTAATGCACCCAAATAGATCGCCCGATAATTATCGCCGTACCTGGACTGAAAAGCTCCCCCAAATACGGCTTTAGTACCTAAACTGAAAAGCCCCCCCAAATACAGCTATAGTATAGTAGTGACCGGGCGTTACATTCGACTAAAGACGGTACCTGATGATCTTCATCTTCGTTGACTTTCCTACGCTGACTCAGCAGAAAAGGTCGTCATCATCAGCATCCTTGCTGTTGCCTTTCTTCCCCTGGCTTGGCGAGAATCAATCCTTTCTATCTCTCTTTCGTTTTCTTTTCCTTTTTTTTTTCGCGCTTTCGCAAAAGATATATTTCTATTACTACCTGAATGAATGAAAAACGGGTCCACCGCCCCTTGCAAGGGGCCTCTCACACATCGCGCCTTCACTTACATTTCTGCGCTCGTTATCGCATCCAATATCCACAACCTTCCTCTGTTATCGCCTCCATGCTCAGCAGCCTTCCTCTCTTATCGCCTCCATGCTCCACAGCCCTCCTCTCCATCGCCATCGCCACCTTCACTCTCTTCCCTCTTCACGACCTAACAGGATCTGTGACCCCCACCTTCCCCCCGCAAACCCTGTTACACTGGCATCGGAGCGGGTTGAGCGCCTCTCTGCTCACCCCCCCCCCACATCCCCGCCTCCGCCCTGCGTAACGACAAAAGTTGGTAATGATTGTTGACATCATGTTAACTTGTTGCATTTCTATCTCTTCTGGCTGGCTCGGAGATGGATGGATCACATCATCACCATCACCATTTTCTTCGACTATCTCCATTGGGCTCATAACTTGGGAAGCACAATCTCTGACTTCTGAATGATCATCAACTAAACATCAACTACCCATCAACTACCTTCGTCACCCGAATAGAACGCCCGGTCATTATAGCTGTATTTGGCACAACTTTCAACCCAGATACGGTGATAATTACCGGGCGTTATATTCGGGTGAAGACGGTAGCCATCAACTAATCATCAACTAACCATCAACTAGCCATCATCAACTCATCATCGCTACCCCTTGTAGAGGAGGTTGTCGTCATCTTCCACAGACTTCTGAGCGGCGGTCGTCTTCTTCACTCGACTACCGTAGGACGGAGGGTCATTATCGCTGTGCATCTAGACTGAGAGTTGGCCCACAAACACAGTTATAATGACGGGAAAACTTGGGACCAACGCAGTACCACCGAGTCACACAAACCATGGTTCTCACCACTCCAGTCCCTACCCGAATAAAACGTACGGTCGCCATCGCTGTACCAAGACTGAAAGTTGGCCCACATACACAGCTATAATGACCGTATACGTTCTATTCAGGAGAAGATGGATGGGTATAGACCAGTAGAGAGAGGTTGTCGTCATATCCACCCAATCCCTGATGAATGAATCGGAACGCAACTACAAGAAGACCTTGGGTTCAAACTCCTCAGTATTATCCTCAGCTGATAATACTATGTAGACGCTCAGGACAACCGCTCAGAGGCTTTCTTCAGAAACTCAGCTGTGTCGCCGTCATATCTGCTTTTTCTTGAAATATTTTTTACTACAGTAATTACTAATAATTACTTACCGTAGTATCGGGCTACCCGTAGTGGCACAATCATAAAGCCAGAACGGCAGAGATCATAGCAGCCATGGTGGCGATCTTCATAGTCGAGAACACACCGAGAAAGCATCACAGCTAGGAAAGATCTTAATCAAACCCAGGACCGTGTTTCGTATCTCAGCCAATATCACAGCCGTCGTCAAGATCATAGGCAGAAGAATCATGGCCAGGATTCCAGCCAAGATTCTACCCAGGATTCAAGCCAGGATCAGAGCCAGGATCCTAATAATACGCAGAATCAAAGCCAGGATCATAATTAAAATCGTGGCCTGTGTGACAATCAGCATCAGAGTCCAAGATCATAGGCGGCAGAATCAGAGGATCTGGTCATGATCACAGTCTGGATCAAATACGGAATCATGATCAGCATCACGGCCCGGATCACAGCCAGTCAAGATGATAGTCAGGATCCCAATCAGGAACCAAGCCAGGATCATAGCCGGTGGGCAGAATCAGAGCCTGGATCTAGTCAGGATCACAGTCCAGATCAAAGACGGAATCATGATCAAAATCATGGCCCGGATCACAGGCAGTCACGATGATAATCGGGAACCAAGCCAGGATCATAGCCAGGATCATAGCCAGAATCATTGCCAGAATCATAACCAGAATCATATTCTTGATCAATGCTAGGATCACGTGCACAGTGGATCATACCTAAGATACAAGAAAGGGGAAAAAAAGGAAAACGAATAAAGAAGGAGGGGGGGGGGACTGAGAACATTTGCACGTCAGGATCATAGTCACGATCACAAACGGCGTAATTTTCGGAAAACAAACGAAAGTGAAAACAGGAAAGAGGGTAAACAAACGAAAGTCAAAACAGGAAAGAGGGTGACCAGGTTCAAAGGCAGTCAGACTAAGAGCATACTCGCACTACGACTTTCTTGCTGCATGCACACGACGCCAATTGCGCCCAAATTCAGTTGAGATACTAGTACGTGTTGCCGCATAAGCAGAAGCCAATTGCGCCCAAATTCAGTTGAGATACTAGTACGTGTTCCCACATAAGAAGAAGAAGAAGAAGAAGAAGAAAGGAGAAATGCGAAGGGCGCGCGATAGACTGTTTCGCCGAGAACTCTCACTGAACTCTCATCCACCGATCATCGTTGACAGGCATCAACAAGCTGGACCCCTCGACAGTCTCTGCTAAATAACCCGACTATAAACTGATCACGTGTCTCCGGATCCCGACAGCTGGGTGCCAGGCACCTATCATCATACAGTGCTCCAGAACACTTTTAGTGGCCCATTAACCACATCTACAGTCGGGATCCCGGCTATAGTAATCACCATGTCACCTTTCTATGGGGTCACAACAACCAGGGACTGTGACAAACTCTTTCGTCTCGGAGTTTCACCGACTGACTCATCAGGAGGCTGAACCCTCAAAAACAGTCTGCAGAATCCCCTACCTGCTTACACACTGTCAGTGATACAAATCCACCTTAACCCCGGTTGTGGTTAAGCATCAACGACTGCCCGACAACTGATACCCTGAGGTGGTGGGGACACCAACCATGTATGGTCCTCGTCTCCCTCTCTGCCTACGGGATACCGGGCAGCTCTGTTTGACGATATGTACACAACGACTTTTATCGTCAGACGGAACTGCCCAGTAAGCCGTACGCAGAGAGGGAGGGAGAAGAGGACAACAAACGAGGGGTTGTGACAAACTCTTTCGTCTCGGAGTTTCACCGACTCACCAGGATGCTGACCCCTCTATAGTCTGCAGAATCCCCTAGCTGATTCGCTGTGAGCGATCCAACGACTACTATATATTATATACTGTTTCCCGGGCAGTTCTATTTGACGAGATATATATATCGTCACATAAATATCAGAGCGCAAAAACGAAAAAAACAAAGAAAAACAAAAAAGATATCAATTCATTTTTTATCTTCTTCCTTACAACTCCC